AAAGGTGTGGGTGGGTGCCTGAGTAGAACTGGAACATGGTATGTTCCGAGTACCCTACAAAGAGATCGGTATTACCAGGCCCCACGTGTGGTCATGGCTTAGAGGCAGAGGCTGGGGTGGTGAAAATAACTCAGTGGGGCAGAGGACACCATTCTCCAACCCTCACAGTCCATTTCTACCTCCTTCCCTAAATTCACAAACTGGACTGTCTGGCAAACTCATTGTTTCTGCCTGCTCCTGCTCTATAGAACTCATCTCTTCCTACCTAGACTAGATTTTTTCTCTCCTTGTCCAGTCCCTTCCTACTTACAGCCATGATTGTTCTGACAATTTGCATCTGTTTCAGAATTTCCAGTTCACAGGCAACAGCCATCTCCTCTTTACCATGGATGTGCAATTCCTTTACATATCATCTTCCATCAGGATGGTCTCAGGGCTCTCCACTTCTTCGTGGAAAGTGTCCCCACCCATTACCACCCTCCTCTGCCTGCTGAATTCATCCTCACTTTGAACAACAACTTCAATAATTCCTCCCAATTTCTTCAGGTCAAAGTGGTGGATGCCACCACCCAACACATAATCCCTTCTCCTCGCTTGTCAGCCTTCCACAGGGACCGTTCCCTCCAGGACACTTTGATGTCCACTCCTTATCCACTCATGAGTGCAATCACAGAAGGTGTAACACCTGCCAATTTACTTCCTCTCTCCTCACTATCCAAGGCCCCAGACACACCTTTCTGGTGACGCAGCAAAATCTACCCGTACTTCATTCAATCTAGTCTACTGTATTGACTGCTCACAATTGGTTTCTTCCAGATTGGGCGACTGAATAGCAGAACACCTACATTCTGTCTGCAAAAATGTCCCTGAGCTTCCTGTTGCCTGCCACTTCAACACTCCACTGTGTTCCCTCTCCAACATCTGTCTCCGGCTTGCTGTGCTGCTCCGGCAAAGGACAGCACAAGGTGGAAGAACAGTACCTCATTTTCCGCTTGGGAACTCTGCAGCCTTCTGAATTCATTATCAAGTTCAACAATTTTAGGGCTTGAGCACCATCTCCCATATCCTTACCCCAGCCACTACACACCTGTACTTGTCAACACATAGGCTGCTACCACAAACAATTCATTGTCAGCCACTAATGGTCCCCATTAGCAGATATTCATTCTCCCAGGATGACCTTAACCCATTTTTTTTTGTCCGCCCAAGTGCCACCTATTGTTTACACCTACCCCTCCCACACCTGATCTTTAGCATATATACCAACTTTTACCTGGCTGCAGTCATTTCTGAGGAACGGTCACTGGACCCTAAGTGTTAACTGATTTCACTTTACAGATGCTACCAGACCTGTTGCAATTTTCCAGCAATTTCTGTTTTTGTTTCTGATTTCCAGCATCTGCAGTTCTTTCAGTTTTTTTATCCTAAAGGACATTTTTTTTTGGATCTCTGGCTGTGTTGCATTAGCTCACATAAATGTAAGGGTGCTTCAAATGGTTGGGACAGTACAAGTATCCTGCCGAGTTGGCATACACTCAACACAATTACAGACTATTACTGATAGTAGGAACTGCAGATGCTGGAAAATCTGAGATAACAAGGTGTAGAGCTGGATGAACACAGCAGGCCAAGCAGCATCATAGGAGCAGGAAGGCTGACGTTTCGGGCCTAGACC